ACTGTGAGGGTGGTGAGGCCATGGCACAGGTTTCCCAGAGAAGCTGTGGCTGCCCCATCCCTGGAAATGTTCAAGGTCAGCTTGGACAGGGCTTGGAGTAACCTGGGATAGTGGAAGATGTTCCTGGTATTCTGGGGCTTCAGCAGCCACAAATGAGTATCTGTGGTGTGTGCTGAGAGGTGACAGCCCCATCCTATCTTTTATTTGGGTTGTCTTATGGCCAGAAACACAGGTCCAGCTCACAAGAGTCTTCAGCTGTCTTTACCCTCACTTGTCCCTTGACATCTCCAGCAGTCTGAGGTGTCAAGGTATGATTTATTTCTTTGGTGGGTGAGCTAAGACCCTGACTTTTCTCTTCAGGACCCCCAGCTCCTAAACCTTACACCTCACTGACCACTCAGACAAGAGCTCTGGACATCTGAGACATCCCCCATCTTTTGACATCGATGGATCCTGTCTGGGTGCCCTGGGGAGCCTTTCCCATGCGGGTGGAGGCCCTCAGGAGCACAGGAACATCTGAGGAGGAGTTCTTGTCCAATAAAGATATTTGCAGTTTCAGTTCTAATAAAAGCAAGTTCTTGTGAAACCATGTTGCTAATACTTGCTCATGTATGCCAGGGTGGTTTTTGTTGTTTTTACTGTCTATAAAAATCACCCTGTAAATGAATTTTATTTAACGACATTAAGTCCATGTGCCACCAAGTCCTGGTAAATCACCCTGTGTCGCAGTGATTTGTGTGGCAACATTTATATTAATAATTGGAAAAGCATTAGAGTCCATTCCAGCCCAGAGCTGGGATTCAGGAGACAGGGTCAGTCCTCTGCTCCTCTCTAGGGCTGCATCTGCCAGCCCAACCTGAAATATTTGAAATACAGAGAATCCCCAGGGTGGCAGAAACTGTGTGACCACATCCACAAGATCCTGCTCCTGCTGTCTCTGTTTAGGGTAGACCAGTATCATGTCCATGAAATTTAATTTCTCTGGATCCTAAACTGGTCAAGCTGGTTTTCCCTGCACTGCTCTGTCTGGAAACAATGGGCTGTGTGTCCATCAACCTGGATTCTCGTCACCAAGACTCATCCCCTCCTTCCCCACCCCTAACATCCCCAGTGCAAAGGCCAGAAGGATTTGAGACAAGGGGTGACCCAAAGTGTCCATGCTCTCCATGCCACGAGCTGCTGGATGGTTTCAGGGCTTCCATGGGTGCTCAGCCTGATCAGTTTGTGCCAGCTCTCCACTGGCCTAATCATCACACAATCATGGAATGGGTTGGGTGGGAAAGGACCTTAGAGATCATCCAGGTCCACCCCAGCCATGGGCAGGGACACCTTCCACTGTCCCAGGTTGTTCCAAGTCCTGTCCAACCTGGCCTTAAAGTCATTGTTAACCAAATTAATAATGATTAGGACAAGGACATACTCCTGTCACCACATGGGTTTGTTTTCCTCCACTTTTCTTGGATAAGTTTACCACAAGGCACATCTCACACTGATTGCAGGTGAGACCCTCCAAGAAAAACACACAGCAGTGAGTTATTCCTCACAGAGATTGTTCCTCACAGGGATAAGGAGGTTATACCTCACAGGGATAAGGATCAAACACAGATCTTCCAGAGCATCTTTATTAAAATTTATTGAGATGTGTAGACTATGAAATATAAGCACCTTAGCTGAGCATTCTGGCATTACTCACATTATTTTTGACTCCAAAAGGAAAATAAAATAATAACAATAATAAAAGAATAGCTGTTCTAAGGGCCAAAGGAATAACTTTGCATCCTCTCATGGGCACAGACTCCTGCACACTGGTGACCTCTCAGGGACAGATGTTGGTTGACACAATAAAATTTCAGCAGCAAAACATTTTTAAAAATGAAAAAATAGTGGTCTTTTCTGGGTGCTTCAAGAATTGCTTTGGAGTTTCTTCAGGTCATGAAGGCTGTTTGTGGAGGGGTTTGTTCTCTTCCTGTTGTTCACATTGTGGCAAGTGCTTGTATGTATCAAATGCCTGAATATTTTCTGCTCAGAATTCCAGATTTTCCAATGGGATGATGCATCCATTAAATTACCAGAAGCTCTGGTTAGCCCATCTGAGATGTCAGTGGCCATTAATCATACTGCAAAAAAAAAAAAAAAAAAAAGGGGGAAGAAACTTTCAGATTTTGTACTTACAACCAGGAAAGGAATAAAATAAAATGCACAGAAGGGACTGAATGAGCATCAAGGGCAGATATTCCTGAATCCAACTCTTCAGGACATTCACAGTCCTGCTGCTGCTGAATTTTAATCATAAATCACTTTTTTATTTTAATTAATAATGAAATGACCACACTCTGTGCCTGAAGCTTCCTACTCCTCTTGGAATTTGTGGTATGGAAAAGAGTTTCTGCTGCTCATGTTTTGTTTTTAACATCTCTTGCTACTAATATTGAACACAGTTTAAGTAAGAGTCTCCAAAAATAAAAATGCCTGCAGCATTTTACAGAGTAAAAAAGAAACAGAAAATGAAATGTTGGAATCAGTGGAGGCAGAGTGTAAATATTCAGGGATATTTGTTGCTGCAGTTTCACATTGGAATAAATATATGGGTGAACTTTAGGATTCCAGTAAGGAATTTGAGGGGGAAAAGAATAAACTAGTCACAGAATTAAAGAATTATTTTGATTTGGAGGGGACTAAAAGACCACCTGGTTCCAATTCCCTACCAGGGGCAGGGACACTTTCAATAGACCAAATATTTTGTTTTTTTCTAGAAGAGGAAATTTATGGAGAAAAAACTCTGGGAGAACATGACTTTCAGGCTGTTCTTCCAACTATGGAACCAGGCAGCCTTTGCAAGGCCGTACATTCAGGTTTCTATGAATCTGACCCAAAAATCCCAGGTCTCAGGACAGTGTGGACACATCAGGAGATGTGTCCTTTGGAGTCAGTACCACTCATGAGCAGCTTGAGGCAGCTAATGGGAACAGCAGCAAAAAGAGTTCATTTCTGGCTAATTAATTCTCTCTGCCAAAGAGGTTTCACTGTGATCTTTCCCACGAGGCACTTGAGCTGTGTCATTAATGCTGCAGGGGGAAGCAGTGAGGAAATCCTCAGGAAATCCCACATCTGAGTGTGTGGAGTCTCTGCTCTTTGCCAGCTTGTGCTGGAGGAATTTTCCATCTAAAGGGCAGACTGGATGTATAAAAATGGGTTATAAATGAGTAATAAACCCCAAGAAATCCCTGGAAATGTTCAAGGCTGGGTTGGATGGGGCTTGGAGCAACTGGATCTTGTTGAAGGTGTCCATGATAATGGGGGTGGAATAGATGACTTTGAAAGGCCCCTTCCAATCCAAGCCCTTCTGTGAGTGTGTGATCCATCACATCCTGGACTCACCACGGTCCTACAGCAGGGAATTCCCTGCTGGCAGCGTCCAAAGGGTCTGCTGTGGGGCTGGGGGCAGTGGTCCCGGGAACAGATCCCCCCAGCCTGTCTGCACTGCCCCTCGGTGTTGGGGGCACGCAGGAAACCTGGGCAGAATGAAAAATAAAACAATGCAGAGTTGTGATCTTCCTTCCCAAAGAAGACTAAGAACAATCCAGGCTATTGCATGGCAGCAATGTTGAAGTTTACCTGCAGGCTGGCCACTTCCACACCATTAAATCCCCTTATTTTCCAAACTGGGAGGGCTCAGTGCATCCAATGGACCCATTTGGTGTCTGGTCACTGCTAAAAATGTGCCCAACACACTGGCAGCACTTTGGCCATAGGCAAAAGGGACTAAATCCATTTCTATTTCTATTTCTATTTCTATTTCTATTTCTATTTCTATTTCTATTTCTATTTCTATTCATATTATTTATATTTACTTATTCCTATTCCTACTCTTCCTATTCCTATTCCTATTCCTATTCCTGTTCCTGTTCCTGTTCCTGTTCCTGTTCCTGTTTCTGTTCCTGTTCCTGTTCCTATTCCTCTTATTTCTGTTTTTATTTCTATTCCTATTCCTGTTTCTTATTTTTTTTCCATACTCAGAATTTTCCCTCTGCATTTCCTTAGAGTTTATTTAACTCTTACCTGAAGTGCCCTGCAGCATTAAGAGGAGCACAGCAAAGAAAAAGGCAAAGATTTTCATGTCCAAATTCACTGGCACCAAATACAACAGATGCTAAGAAAAAAACAAAAAGAAGCCAAATACATTTAACCTGCATTTGCAACCTAGCACAAACATTATTATTGACAAATTAGCTGGAATTTTTTAATAAAAATTGGCATTTATGTAATAGAGTAAATGTTCTGAAATGAATCTACAGAAATAACAGTTTTTAAATAAAATATAAAATTGAACGCATACTGCATAAGATTGATAAAATGTATTTATTACTATAAATATTTTTATTAATTTTTTTATTTGAGCAACTCGGCTGAATCTGGCTGGGATGGAGTTCACTTTAATCATGGCAGCCCATACAGTGCAGTGCTTCATGTTCAAAGCAAGTTTCTTAATTACTAAAATATGCATTTTATTTAATTAATAGCTTAAGCCTTTCAAATTTCTTTGAATACAAACACTCAAAAACTTTAATTATTCAAATAATGGTATTTTTTTTAGCTTACAAGCCAGTAATTACTCCTTGAAATATCTTTACAGAAAATCCAAGGTGCCATCTATCCATCCTGGAAGCCCTGAATTTTCTCTCCACCATCATTTCTTGCTGCAGATTCCAACTACCTTTGGAAAATAATACTAATTTAATAGTTAAGAATCACCATCACTGAGTATAATAATCAGCCAAATGCATTACTGAAATACCAAGCACTGACCATTTCAGGTACTCATGGGGATTTAATTAAGCTGCAATATTCTGCATCTTGGATGATTAATTTATTTTTAGAGCAACAAGTTTTATCAAAAATCATGTGTTTTTCTCCTCTTTGGTTGAAACTGGTGTGAAAACTGCACCTTTGGCTCACCCAAGAGGAGCAGAGGAGAGGGGGCCAGTGGGTCCTACCTGGTTCTGCTCCAGGGGATCTTTGCAGAGTGATGTCTCACCCCAGAACCACTGTTTTTATATATTCTGTGGATGACAGAGCTGCCACAGACCAGCTGGCCAAGGACATGGACTTGTCACAGCAATTCCCAGCAGCTGAAATGTCACTTCCCAGCAGCTGACGGGGGACAGTGACCGCTCGTGAACTCCCTCCCCTTTCCCTGGAACATGAGTTGGCTCTTCCCAAAAACACCTCACCCCCATGTGTGCCCAACACATTGATCCCTCGTGGGCGGTGGAAAACGATGGCCTGGGACACACAGGCTGGGATCCAGGGGCACCTGACCCTGCAGAGCTGTCTCTGTAGCCTGGAGATGCAACCACAGCCCCTTAACTGCTGAATTTGGGAAGCTCAGATTTTGCAATGACTCTCCCATGTTAAATACAGGTGAGACCTCTCTGTGTTCACAGAATCCCAGAATGGTTTCGGTTGGAAGGGACCTTAAAACTCATCCCATTCCACCCCCTGCCATGGCCAAGGACACCTTCCACTATCCCAGGTTGCTCCAACCTGGCCTTGGACACTTCCAGGGATCCAGGGGCAGCCACAGCTTCTCTGGGCACCCTGTGCCAGGGCCTCACCACCCTCACAGGGAAGGATTCCAATATCCCATCCATCCCTGCCCTCTGGCAGTGGGAAGCCATTCCCTGTGTCCTGTCCCTCCATCCCTTGTCCCCAGTCCCTCTCCAGCTCTCCTGGAGCCCCTTTAGGCCCTGGAAGGGGCTCTGAGCTCTCCCTGGATCCTTCTCTTCTCCAGGTGAGCACCCCCAGCTCTCCCAGCCTGGCTCCAGAGCAGAGGGGCTCCAGCACTTGGAGCATCTCCATGGCCTCCTCTGGACTCTCTCCAGCAGCTCCATGTCCTTATGTTGGGTGGGGACCCCAGGTAGGATGTCACAGGAGCAGATTGCCCTCCCTTGACCTGCCGGTCACTCTTTCATTCTCATGGATTTGCCACATCTGTGTTCTGTTTGCCCCACAGAAAATACTTCTATTTGAATAATTAATTCCAGGGAAGTACCCTCTTCCACACAGCCTTTCTGATTCCAGGTTTGGAATCAGAAACCATTGATTCCATTGATTCCATTGATTTCCTTCCTTTGGAAGGAAACAACTTTCACAAAAAATATTTTGGTCAAGTATGTGCCCTCAGAGGTTCTGGACTACAGAAACTGATGGCAGCACTGGTTTAATCTGAACCCTGAATGCACATGTGAGCCCAGATGTTGTGTTTTCATTGTTATACCACCAGGAAAAAACCCAACATTCCTGTTCTTCAAAGAGCATTCACCTAGCAGGGGCTCCCCCAGAAGATGGCAATGAAGAGCTAACGCTGAAATTCCTCTCCAGCAACCTTCTTCAGTGAAGGGTACGGAAATTATTCTGACAGCGGGGTTTTATGGATTTTTTTTTCTTAATTATACTGATGTCTTTTGATTCCCTGCGCTGATATGTGAGTGAATGATGTTTTCTGACAGGCCAGACTGAAAAGCCCTCCCTGCTCTGCAGTCTGCTGTGGACTCCCGTGATGGACAAGAAACCAGAAACCAGTCACTGCTCTCAAAATCATATTGACAGGACTCGAGGAAGTGGAATGAAGCTGAGTTGGGAGAGGTTTAAGTTGGATATCAGGAAAAGTTCTTCACCCAGAGGGTGGCTGGGCCCTAAATAGGCTCCTCAGAAAAAGACAGCTATTTAAAATCCCATCTTTGTATAATTTAATTGGAAGAATGTGTATATTTGCTTTATAACATGGAAGAGCATTTGTTTCTATTATTTGGATTTTGATTTTGTTCTTTAAAAAAACCCAAAAAAACCATAAATAACTCAAGTGATGAACTGTAAAGAAGCAGACACTGTGAATATTAAATGTATTAATGAGTTTTTAGAGGCACAGAGCTCTGAACTGAGATTGTGGGTTAACCTCCTGAAAAGGAGGTTAAAATAGGATGAAATTATTCTTTCTTCCTGTTGTTCCACTTTGTACATGTGCCACCTGCCCAAAGTGGAACAAAACAGATCCAGGCTCAAATATCAGGGTTTGGACAAGATCTTTAACTAATTAATTTTATTTGTTCTTATGATTGATGGTAAACTTCCTTTAAATATCTTAAATACTATAATTTAACTATAATTTTAATTCCAATATACTGTTATTGACTCTAAGCATTGTTTTGGCCACTCATGATCACAGAAGTGATACATTTCACCTGTTTCTTGGCAGTTAAACACATGCAATTAAATAATGAATATTGCAAATAAATTAATATTGCATCCTGAAAGCATTTTGACCACTAAATGTCTTACTCAGTTCCCTTTTCCTGGGGTACTGCAAAGGACATTGTGTGGAGCCCCCAAAATTATGTTCTCCAAGTGTAAATATATATTTGTATGCCTGTGCATGTAATCTATAAATATTCCAAGAGAAACAAAGGTCAAATTTACTCAACTGCTTTCTATTTTATCTTTGCTGAAGAACATGCAAACAGAGAAGAATAATCCAGATATTCTAACCTGTGATTTGCTCAGGAATTGTCAGCGTATTAATTTCAGTAATTGTTTATTTGAACATAGACAAATGCTATAATGATATTTCTTGCTCTCCTGTCTCTCTACAGCCCTCCTAGCAAATCAACACTAACGTAGGTATTTTTTTATATAAAATATTGTTAAAATGAATATGTGGAAGGGCTCTTCTAAATCCCAGTTGATTTTTTATCACTCAGCACACCACAGACTTTGTTCCCAGTGAACATCCAGGTCTCAGTTCCTTTGCCCACACTTAGACAAGTGCTTCCTGAGATGTCCCTGTGTCCCAACCCTCCCCCGTGGCTTGCTCTCCTCTCTCCTGACCCTTTTCCACCAGTCCCAGGAGGGGATCTCAGCCAGCCCAGAGCTCCCTAAATGACTCTAGGAGATGGTGTGAAGGCCACTGGGTTAAACCCTGTGTGTCCATATGTCACCTCAGCTTACCTGTCACAATGGGATGTCCCCAGACACTTGAAGCAATGAGGATCCTTCAACTTCTCTCTGCCATCCTCTTCCTCCAGCGTCCTCTGTGCAAATGACAGGAAGGATGACAGACCTTTGGTACAATTGCCCAACATTTGTCCTCACAGCACCTCCACACCTGGCAAAAAATGGCCTGAAATCCCTGTGGGAACAGATCTGCTGTCCATCCACTGACCTTGGACAGCCCTGTGGAAAACTGCCCAGACCTGACTTGGCCAAACCCTGCCTGGAAATCCCATCTGCTGTTGGGTATTTTGAGCAGTGATGTGTGGTGAGCTGCCCCTGCTCCCCTTGGGAACTGAACCTCTCCCACAGGAAAGACCCCCCAGCTCAGGGAAGGCACAAGCAAACAGTTTGCCAGTTGCTTCCAAAACACTGGAAATACAAGGATAAAAGTGCTGCTTGGAGACCCAGAGAGCAAAATTGTATTTTACATCTCTAAAGCATCAGCAGTATTTATCAGTGCTTCCCTGACTGTGTTGTAAAGCTGTGATTTATCCCATGTGGAGCTGGCCCATCTGAGAACAAGCCCTACGTTTCGCTAACCTGAAGGTGGACATCTGAGCTGCCTTTTCATTCAGGACACTCGAGCAGCTGTAAAGCTGATAGACATTGAAGAAGATATTCCCAGCACTGAGATTTCTTAAAATCCACATCAATTTCCACAGCCTGTTCCTGTCCTCTTCCTTACACAGTTTTGAGATCCCTCCTAGGCATCAAGGTTTCTGATTGTCCTGGATCCTTGGTCCAGAAGATCTGTAGAGCACCACAGCAGTTACCAGGGGAAGCTGGTGACATTACCAGTGATTATTTTCCAGTGAAGGAGAGGAAATTTTTCCCTGTGAGGCTGTTAAGGCCCTGGCACAGGCTGCCCAGAGAAGCTGTGGCTGCCCCATCCCTGGAGGCGTTCAAGGCTGGGATAGACAGGGCTCTGAGCAATGTGGCACAGTGGAACGTATCCCTGCCCATGGTAGGGTGTGGAACTGGATGAACTTTAAGGTCCCTTCCAGCCCAAACCATTCTGGGATTCTACACCTGAGGAGCCCTCAGGATCAGAAGGAGCACTCACTGCATGTTCCCAGAAATTTTACATCACCCTGTGGTCTAATGTGCCTTACACAAACTTGTGTGATCTAAGATGGGTTGCACAAAGATCAGGGGCTCTGTGGTGAAAGTAATCTCCAAGAGAACCTCCCTTTCTCATTGGAAGAAACCAAATAAAGGCTGGAAAAGGAAAGGCTTTTATTTCATTGGCCAATGACTGCATTGGGTCATCCCCAACCCTTTATAGGTGTGTTTGGGTCTGGTGCATCCATGGGAGAACAGAAGCAGCAGTGATCCTCCACCTCCTCCTCGGGTAACTCTGCCTGGTTCTGTAGAGCCACCCTCACCTCTCCATCTTTAGAAATCTCTTTTCCTTTCATCAGTCTCAACCTTCTGCTTTGATTTCTCTCTCTTTACTCCAGCAAGTGCCTCCTGTGTGTACATGTTCTGTAGAGCCATGGATTGGCTGCTTGCAGGGCTTCTGGGTTGGTGGGTTTGGTGATCTCCAAGAGGAACAGAGACCTGGGAACTTTCCCTTGAGACATCAGAGACAAAAATGTCTATTTTACTCCAGAAACACACCCAGCCAGCACAGCAGATGAGCTTTGCCTTTTGACCCATGTCTTGCCTGAATGCAGTAACATTTTGAATGAGTTGCTACCTTAATTAATATTGGTTCATTCTTTGAACTCTTTGTGTTCTTGAATATGTGGAAGGGGAATAATTTGTAGGCCTATGCTGTACCAGAGTAACCTGCCTGGTGCTGAAGAGATCTGGGATATCCTTTCTTCACTGCAGTAAAACCAAAATTCAAATAAGAAAAAAAAAGAAAAATCAGCACCAAAACACCATAGAATCCCAGAATAACTTAGGTTTTGAGCTAATCCAGGAGTTTCTAGTCTGAATCTGTGCTTAAAGTGGTACTAATTGGGTCAGGCTGTTTAGAGATGCATTCCCTGAAACTGCTAATATCTCCAAGGATGAAGTTTTCACTCTGCTCTTTGTCCAAATCCACTGGAGAAAGATTTTGGCTTTGGTGTCTCCAGGCACATTTTTACAGCAGTTCCTCATCTCCTGGTCAGGTGAGAATGCTCTGTCCAGTGTTGTTCAACCTTGTGCTCTCTGCTCAGTGCAGATAAAGAATTCACACCCCAGCTGTGGCCATGAGGATCCTTCACATGCTCCTGGTTGTCCTCTTGCTGATGCTCCAAGGGGCTGCAGGTAAGGAGTGAGGGGAGTAAAGAAGAATGCATTCACTTTTGATCACTTTCATGGTAAATGACTCCTCTTTGTGCTGTGCAGGACAAGAAGTGTTTCCTAGGCTAGATAATTCCTGTTTGGCCCAAAACGGACGCTGCTTCCCACGGATTTGTCGTCGTCCGTATTACTGGATTGGAGAGTGTAGTAATGGATATTCTTGCTGCAGAAGGTGAGTAGAAATGCAGGGATCTCTGTGGGAATGGCTCATTTCCTCATTATCTTTTCTCCAGAGCAACATCTCAGAGGCACAGCTCCTGCCACCTCTCTCACTTCTCTGGTGCCAAACCTGCTGGTGTAGAGGGGGAATTCACATCTCATGGCAGCCTCTACTCTGATCCCATGAGATAAGGAAAACAACTCTGCAGAAAACCTAAAGGTGGGTAGCCTGAGCCTCTCTTTTCTTCATGCAGGGGATGGAGTAGCTGAAGAGTCCCTGGATTTGCCTTGGAAATCCTTCCTGCTTCTACCGAAAGGTTCCTGGGAATCACCCTGAATCCCTCGCTCCTGGTGGCACCAGTTCCTGCTGCAATGAAAAGCTGTCATAATCTTCCCTTGCAGTGAAGCAAACATCACAAATGTGAACCAGACAACACTGTGGAAACTATTTCTTTCCTCTCCTTTAATAAAATCAGTTATGGTGGCATTCATGTGGTTGAACCTTGGGTGATTCTTTGTAGGGAAGGAGGGAAACATTTTCCCTGTGAGGGTGGTGAGGCCCTGGTGCAGGTTGCCAAGAGAAGCTGTGGCTGCCCCATCCCTGGAGGTGTCCAAGGCCAGACTGGACAGGACTTAGAGCAATCTGGGATAGTGGAAGGTGTTCTTGCTCTTGGTAGGGGGTTGAGACTATTTTTAAGGTCCCTTCCAACCCAAACCATTCTGCAGTTCTACGAATAAGGAGCACTCAGTACCAAAAGATGCAGTCATTGCAATCTCAAAGTGGACCTTCCTTTCTCATTGCAAGAAACCAAATACAGGCTGGAATCTGTGCTTCTGCCTATTTTTCCTTGCCCTCATGACCTAGCAGTGTAGATAAAGCCAAGATCCAGATGTTTCCTTCAGGGGTCCTGGAGGCATCTGAGAAATTTTACTTCTGATTGGACCTTATGCAAAGTAAAACCGGGAACATTTTGAATCATATCAGGAACACAAAACAGGAGAAAAAAAGTGGAAAAAATGAAAAGAGAATAAAATACATTCCTAAGAGTTATGGACATTAGTGATTTGGTTGTTATCTCTTCAAGAGCAGTTGCTGAACAGTCACACAACAGTGCCCAGAGGAATATGTTACCAAACTCAGATGGTTTGGACTCCTAATGACTTTCTGGGTGGGTTTGGAGAGGTGACAACATATTTTAAAAAACCCTCTGAATAGCAAATTCTGGCTCTGTGAGAGACACAGCTGCCACTTGTGTTGTTCAGCAGAATTAGTGCTTGTGGCTCTTATTGCAAAACACCTTTTCTTGCAACCTTTTTGGGTTTCTTCTAGCCCTTCTGTTACTTCTGTGTTTTATTTCTAACAATCTTATTGCA